ATAAGTACTGTATATAAGTGGTTTACATGGTAAATTCACACTAAATATGATAAAAAATAGCTTTTTTAACCTTTAACATTATCCATACTATACCTGTTAAACGCGAACAATCATTGATTTGCCAAGTTAACCAGATAACACATGTGCAGTTTGTTTAACTATTTAGAATAAATTGTGTAGATAAAGATTAGTCATGTTACTGTAAACCGACTGCCTTTTCCTTTCTGGGGCTTGGGCCTTATTCCTAGGCCAAAACTGCAGGGGAGCAAACAGCCTAGCTATCTGATTTCCATATCAATAGCTGCTGCCTGCCTGGATCAGGTGCGTTACCTGTGGGATTTTCCTAGCTGGAAACCAGGAATGTCAGTGGTGTAAAGAAGATTCTGAACTTTCCCTTTTAAAAATAAGGTTAGGAAAAGACACACGCACACACACCCAGGCCTTAAAAAATCACAATCCAGAAATTAGTATCAGCGTTTACTCTTCTTAAGGAGAAGGTGGCTCAACTCCTGTCACCCTGCAGGGATATGAGTCCTGGAAGTCAGAATTTTGAGTTCCATTGTTTTCTTCTTTCATCTGCCCCTCTGCTCTCCTTTCTCGTCACATTGTTGGCCATAGGTGCTCCGCAGAGTATCTCCGTCATGCCCAGTCCTGGTGTGTTCTCTTCCTTTTCTCCCTCTGTCAGCCTCCGCCTTGCCCTAGTGCCTGAGAGCCTAGCGCTGCTGCTTTCCCCAGGCTTCTCCAGTGCAGGCTGATGCCTCTCATCCTGGGCTTTCTGTTATGTTTACCCCCGGGGTGCCGTAGCCCTTTAGCTTAAACACTTGGAGGAGGTAGTGTTTGAGCCTCCAGTTTCCACACAGCCTTACTCGTGGATATTTGTATAAGGGCCAAGGCGGGTGGGATGGTGAAGATGTGGGGGAGGGCGATGTGGAGGAAGGACGGAGGATGGAGTAAAGGCGAAGAGAACGCAGCTTCGGAGCTGCTGTGGCGTTATTAGTGTCAGGCAGGGCTTCCTGTCAGACAGGGCTTCAGTATCTGGCCTTCAATCCTCATTGGCTGTGAACCTCTCTCAGCTTTGACCCATCTTACCTCTGGATTCTCTTCTCTAGCCACTCCCTAGCCCTTCGAAAATGTTTTTCAGTATAATAGTATTCGCAGAAATGAATCAGTAGTCCTCATTTTTCAGTGTTAGATAAGCATTGTTTCAAAACCTAGGTTTTGATTTCTTTTACTAACTGATTTCCAAAAAAGTGCTGCTTTTGAACCCCTTCCTGCCCTAACTATAAGTAAATAAATGGTTCCGTGAGCAGTGAGGGGTCAGATTTAATGTGATTAGGGTGCTTGTTCAGGGTAACATTAGACTAGGCTTGGGGAATCGAGTTTGTCGCAGTGAGCCTGTGTGCCATTGCAGTCACTTTCCGCACCGTGGATGAGTCTCTGTGAATAAATGATTGATCACCTTTACCACCTACCCTTACTTCAGCCCCCTGCCCTTTGCCAGAGTGCTCTTCCCAGAGCTGACGGACAGCTTTGTTTCCTTTTCATTTCAGCTGCGGATGAAGATATCCTTGCTAAGGGAAAACAGTCCATCAAGAGTCAGGCTTTAGGAAATCAGAACTCAGAAAACGAGATCCTCTTGGAAGGTGACGACGATACTCTGTCATCCGTGGATGAGAAAGATATAGAGAATCTTACCGGTAAATTCACTGCTTGTGCAGATATTTCAGCCAGCTCTGGGACAATAAGCATCTAATTACTTACTTTTTCAGCTGTGACCGCTAGGACTACCAGCCATACACCCACAATTACATTAATTAAAGATTGTTTTTGTTCTACCATTTTCCCCCTCACCTTCAACACTGTGTCCCCATTATTTTTTGATGCTGTAAATCGGAATCGACTTGACAGCAGTGGGTTTGGTTTTTCTGGTATTCAGTCACCTTACCCTCCTCATTTTATTGTTTTTGTTTTATGATTAATTTTCACTGAAAAAGGGAAAAGTTTAAAAGCAGCAACAACAAAACAATTGCTTATACATCCCATGGGGTTACCAATTCACTATAAAACGAGGGCTAGAAGTGAAAATTCTGCCAGTTATTTTGTAAATAATGCTTGGAGGCAGATCTACTATTTGCTTTGGTATATAAGTCTCAGTAAACCTGCTGCATGTACGTTTAACTCTCCCAAAAATCAATTCCAAGAATGCTGTGGCTCTTCATGGAATTCACATATTTTATGTGATGTAGGAATTTTGATTTGCACTCTGCAGATTTTCAGTTTTACTTCCCTTATGGGAAAAATTTTCGTTTAGCCTGAAATTTTAGTCATTCATTAAATGGCTTTTTTTTTTTCCAATGCCTATTGCTTTGTCCCTCAAGGAGAAAAGTCTGAAAGATTCTACAGTAATTTCTATTGGTGAAAAATTATATAATATTCCATTTTAATAATTTTAATTTGAGAGAAAAAGCATTAGAAATCGTTTACTTGGCCATACATTTGCAACTTGTGATACCATATAAAAACAGAAGATGGTATCTCGGCTGATGACTGTAATCCTCTCTGTAAAGTAAAATAAAATTAACTGGAGCATATTGTTAAGGGATTTAGGGTTAGTAGCAGAGGGTAAGGTGGATACTACTGTTCTCTAGTCTTTTCCTTCAAGTCCATTTATCTATTTTCTCCTCCTCTATTTTGCTTCTTCTTGCTACTAGTAATACATTCATACAGTAATAGAGGTGAAAGGAGAGTTTAATTATATAATCTTGACAATGGCAATAGGATTAAGAAGTAATCCACACTAATAAAGTGGTGTGGGTTAGAAATGAAGTGGAAATTGTCAGGGGTCTTCTGTAGGACCTAGACTGCCCTAGCTCCTGCAGCTGTCTGCTTACCCTGTAATTGAATGTCTGAGAGTGATTGAAAAAATGTTATTTCTTCTCAGGATTACATGCTAATGTACAGAGGGCAAAGGGAGACAGCAAAAGAACACATAGCTGCTTATTTCATCCATTTATAGGGATGAGCTTTGGGAAATCATGGCTGTTCTGCAGCTATCTGCTGCCCATCTGCAAACACAATGCATTTGTACATTGGGAATAGAGGGCAAAACCTGCTCTGATCTCCACAGAGCATCTCTTCTATTGTCCTACTGGCACACATTAAGATTGATGTGAGATTAAGGACCGCCACCCTTCTAACAATCGATGGAAATGTCAATTCATCTGAATTTTGAGACATGTATTCACCCATTGATTACCTGAATAGGTGTACCTTGTTTATAGGCACTATATTAATTCAGAACTGTAAGTGCCAATCTTCTCTTTTGCTATTTTCCTCCCTTATGGGATTTGTACAATGAAGAATTGGCATGAGGTTTGAAATTCTTACTGTATCTCTACATTAATATATGTTATAAAATTATTTTTAGTCCTTGTTTTAGATTTATATCTAATATTCTTTATGCTGTTCTATCTTTAGTGAATCTATTGTTTTCAGTAGCAGTCTGATTTGTCTCTTTGATAAGCCCTGTGGAGATTTGATTATTCCAATAAAAATTCATTCACTTGGAAACACACCCTCCAGCTGTTTACTCCCAGAGTCCCTGAACTACACTAATATTAGATTTGTAAGCATTGAACAATATTTAACAGTAGAAAAGAAGGCTTAGAAAAGAAGTATTTTTACCAGTCTTTCATGAGGTGAAGTTATTATGGAAGAGGTTTTGTGTCAACCTGGCACAAGACATTTGTATCAGAGAATATGGCTTAACATTTCCCACTTCACCAACAAGCTAGTGATCTTTTTGTAGTCACGCCTCAGCCAAACTCTAAGCTAACCTTTGGCCTTGGGAGCCTGTTGAGGCTTCCTGCTCCTGGATGTTGTTCCATGTTGTTTGATAGCCTGAGGCTTGTTTTCTAAATGGAATGTGGATGGACTTATTTAGGCAGAGCCACCTTCTTATCCAGAGACTAACACCAAAGCTTTGCAGACTCCCTGTAAAATAATTACATCCTAGTTTACTGTGATCATTAACTGTATATTATAAATCTACCATGAGAATCCTGACTTTTCAGGGGAAGATTTTGTGTGGCTCAGATATGTAAGTGTAGTAGGAGTTGGCAAGCAAGTTGGTACTAGAGGTGAGAATTAAAAAATTAAATAGAATCTCTGGTTGAATCTATTCGATTTTTGAGAAGTGTCATTCCAACTTGTGTGGCTTGTCTTTTTCTTTTGGCAGGTCCTGTTAGCTTGAGCACACCAGCTCAGCTTGTGGCCCCCTCTGTTGTAATAAAGGGCACTCTTTCTGTCACCTCCTCTGAACTCTATTTTGAGGTAGATGAAGAGGATCCTAACTTCAAGAACATCGACCCTAAGGTGAGGAGATGAGGAGGGGGTTTCATTTTTATGAAATTGTCTTTCTTACGGTGGAATGGTTGGCCACTGTTGGGTGGGATTGGCATTGGTAAAATCTGGCAGATTTAGTTTGAATTTCTTGCTGGATTTCCTCCGCTTGTATGCAAGATGGCTTTTTTTTTTTTTTTTTTTTTTTTTAAGCTTATGATTCCCTTACCAGCTAGTTAGATTATTGAAGTTCATTTAGATTCAAAAACAATTTCCACTTATTTGCATTTATCATTAGCTGATTCGAGGTGGATAAAAAACCTTAGGGGACATCATCTATAAATATATTTTGCCTCAAAGGATCCAAGCTACAAAATTCAGTGAGATTGAGAGTGAAATTATTTTGTTTAGCCTTTATGTTTTCTGGATATAATACCAATATATCACCCTCCTTGCTTTGTCTCCATGACTTACTGCTCTGTTGCGCTCGCACGTATGTTTTGTGTGTGTGAGATACCTCTGTTCCCCATTACCTATTGTAGATTTTACAAGGCACTGCATAATTTCCTATTCTTAAATGAAAATGTAATTTCCCCTTTAAAATGTATTTCTGATTACCTTTCAGACCGTGGCAACTTTATTTTTACTAAGAAATGCTTGTGGCACAGCTATAAAGCCAAAATTAGGTTTATTTCAAGAAAGTGAATGGTAGAATTTCTTCAGAGAAGCAACAGTCTCTTAAACGAGCAAAAGAGGAAAGCTGTAGAAACAGAAGTTGTTTGAAAAATTGGAATAATTTACTTATAGACTGATAGCTCACACACACATACATTCTGAGTTTATTGGTAGAAGGTTCTTTGATTTTTTGATTGTACGTAAGTTATTAAATCTTAATGATTTGGAAGTATTTCAAAGTAGCTCTTGATGAAAATGTTGTAATTTTATTAAACACCTTGCAAACAAACATCATGTTTTATGCATGTTTCCAGCGCTTTGTTTCAATATTGCTGCCTTTATTAAGACAGGATTTGATAAACTGTGTGACAGGAAGGCTATGATGGAACTATTTTGAGGTTGATAATTCATCTAATCTGATGTAGAAAAACTTTATACTAGTTCTGAATTTACTTACATCAATTAGTAAAATTTTCTACTTTGTTACATGGCTGAAATGTCTAACAATGTATTTTAGTTTCTTTAGGAGAAGAAGGTAACCAACATTACTTAAACTCTCATTTCTGGTAGTTTTTGAGTTTAAGAGAGGCTAAGGTAATTTAGGATATTTTATTATGCTTTTGGACACACATGGCTTAATAATCTAAAATCTGATTTAATTTAAAGATGTCTCATGAATTGTTCTCAAAATTAGAACCTCTGCTAGTCTTTGAGGTTAGGCTCTTTGAAGTTATTTGCTCCTTTGGGTGAAGTTATAACTTTTATATCTCTCTGATCTTATTCTGTGCAGCATCATTAAAATTTTTTTTCCCTGTTGCTTGTGAAATACCAGATCTTTAAGCCTAATCATAGCAGCTGTCTTGTACCATTACAATCTGCCTAACACTCCAGAAATCAAAACTCCTGCTAATTTATATTTTTAAAGAAATTTCAGCTTATTATTTGAAGAGTTTTTTTTTTAATTTTGTATAGACGTTTAGTGCTTTATGTATTTTGTAAATGAGGAAATTTGTTTTTTTTTTCCTTTGTTAGTGGTATTTGCATTAAATTAAATAAAGAAGAAAAGAGATACTGACTTTGGGGGATTTTTGTTTCTTTGCGGCATTGTCAAGACTTAAAAACTTTTTCTGGTAGGGAGATTTGTGTCTATTGTAAATTTGTAGCTAATGTTGTAAATGCTTTTGTGAGTTAAAAAAAAGGTAATTTTAAGATACTATTTTTATCTTTTAAACTGAACACTCTACCCGTAGATCATTTTCTTTGTAAATATAAGCATCTACTGATTGCTTTGGAAATGCTGTTAAGAATCAAAACATTTTCCCCAGAGAGTAAACGTGTTTTTGTTACTTAAAAATAATTAGTATATTTGTCTGAACCACTTAGTATTATGGTGAGCTTATTCTTCACCTATAGGCTGAGAGACCAGAAAAATAGATGTAAGTAATATAGCTTGAAAGAATAGAGATTATTCAGAATGGATAAGGTCAAAGTTTATGTTTCTACCACAGAACTTATTTTACCGGGGGATGGTAGTCTTACAACTTAAGCCAGTTCTGTCTAGTGAACCAGGTTTCAGAGCCTGAGTAGCTTCCTTGTTTTTCATCCATCTCTGAAGCTCATCTCTTACGTACCTGCTTCCCCACTCAAACTTCTTCCTCTGATCTTTAAAATTGCTTTTCAGAACGTTTTTTTCTATACTTCTCATTAATGGATTTTCTCAAATTTAGAAACCGGACTAATTTCAAAGAATACATTTTAAATATTATAGGGTAACATCTGACATATATTCTGTACCTGTGCCTCATCATCAGCATTTTTAATGGCATATATAGTTGCCTCCAATGTGGAAAAGACAAAACGGTTGATTTGGGATGTTCTTAATGTTACTAACTATTGAATTTTCTAATCAGTTATTTACTTGCATTAGAAAGAAACCTTTGTTAAAGCTGAAATCAGTGCATTGGGTTGTCATCTCAATAAAGCAGAAAGGGAAGGAAGGTATTTTTTCTTATTTGCAAATTCGTGGAACAGCAATTTTTCTTTGGTCATAAAAATGATATAAACATTTTTTGTTTGAATTGCATATAAGCAGTTTCAGAATAATTCTTGAAATTTGATAAACATGATCATAGTTAAGGGATTTATAATTAACCCATTTTAAAATTGAAGTAATTAAAAAATCTAGTTTGTTCATAATCCTCACCAAATGAGGGGTAGGAGTATTCTGCAGTAACTATTTCATTGTTTTGTTGGTGTGGGTGTCTTAAGTTTTTATCATTCAAAGCTTGAATAGCACAAATGGCTAAAAGTAAAGTATCAACTATTTCAAAAAAGATCCATAAATATTTCCTTTGCCTTTCAGACACAGATTGAATTTTTTAGACTTATGGCATAAGAAATCAAATCTCTTAATTTTTAATGTGAAATAGTTTTTCTCTTTCAAAAGTTGGATAGAAATATGTTCTTTCATACTATTTTCTTTTTGCAAGTGTGAAATACTACTTTTAATCTTAAAACCCACCAAACAAATATATATTATAGTTGGTTAAAATTAATATTTTCTCTTTTCTAAGGATGTTGGTGGGAAATTGTATGGTTGAATCCACAAAATGGACTGTATTTGTAAATTTTCCAAATTAGAGTTTAAATAAAAGCTTCTTGCATTCAGTTCAAGTTCAACATCTCTTTATTGTAGATTATAACCCTGTGATCTCACCTGCCTTCCAGTAAGAACAATCCACAAAACAATGTAAAGTTAAAGTCATTTTTTTATTACTGTTTTCAACAAGACTGGTTAAGGTGAGGGTAGAGGTGCAATAGAGGGATGGGCACAATCTGACATTGGCACTGAGATACATTAAACATCAGTAAAACTGCTTTTAAAGAGAAATTTTACATATAGTTAAATAATTTTTTTCACTTGGTGACAACATTCAGGCAACCAAAAACAAGATGAAAGGAGAGAGAGCGCACGAGAGAACGAACGAAGAGAGAAAAGAAGGAAAAGGGTGAAAACTATTATACATTGATTTGAAAATGTACCTTGGATTTCATTTTGTGGTGGTAAAACCCGATCGCTTCTTTTGTGTGACCTTTTAAATTCACATTGTTTGGAAGAGAACGATTACTTTTGTGCAAGAATGTGATACATTTTTGTTTGTTCGTTTGCCCTCGTTTTGTTTGCTTGTTAATTAACGAAGCTCTTCTGCCTGGTTCCTGTTTCTTTCAGGTGGCTTACATAAAAGTTTGTGTGCGGAGTTCTGCTGTTTGTCGCCGAGTTGTGTGTATTGTGTGTATGCGAGAGGGCGCCGGTTTGTGTCGCTTTTCAAGCAGCCCCGAGAACCCTATAGTTTGTCCAGGCTTTTGGGATTAGTGAGAATCTCCCTGGCCAACCTCCAGGTCTGCTTGGCAGCGCTCTCCAGGGCCGAATGGGGCTTGCCCTGAAAGAGGTCGAGGTTGGGCAGAAAGTAGTGAGGGCAGCGGCGGCACTGCAGGCAGGAGATGAGCTGCAGCAAGATGCCATTGAGCCGGTCGCCGAGGCACGCCTCGTCCCAGTCCGTTTCCCGCGGGTGTTTCTCGCACTCGTACAGCAGCAGCGTCTTCATGTGGTAATTATTGAGTGGCTGGCCGGGCAGCTCCAGGTGGCGGTCCCTCAGCGTCTTCAGCACCGAGAGACACTTGTTTCGGCAGCCGCCCATCAGCAGGCGGTTCTCCGCTTCCCCGAATTGTAGCACCCAGGCGTCGCTCTCCGCCGAGCTCTGCTTGCCTGTCAGCGAGTAGCACTCCTTCGAGAGCAAGTTGAATCCCTCGGCCTTGACCTCCGCCACCCGGTTGGGGCCGGGCCAGGGGATGTGGGGCATAGGCCACTGCGCCGCGCTGCGAGGCCAGATCCCGGTGCACTTGAACGCCGGAGTGATTTGCACCACGTAGCGCTCGCGGATACGTAACTTGACCTCACTGGTATCGGCGATCATCTTAACCACATCCCGATAGCTGCACTTGTCCACCGCCTGTGCCACCAGCGTCTGGAAACGCGAGCGGATCTTGCGCGCCGAGAGGTATCCGGAGGCTGTGATGAACTCGACCCAGAGAGACATGCTCCGCTTCCGCCCATCGCTCAGTTTGAGCACCGCGCAGCCGGGCAGCGAGCCGTCGTCAACGAAGTTGAAGACGCCCATCTGGTTTAGGTAGAGCACCACCTCGAATTCGGTGGGCGAGATGACCTCGAGCCCCTCGTAGCGGGCATCGATCTCGCTCAGAGAGCTGATGAAGCGAGGCTCCTGCACCTCCACTTCCTTTAGCACGTCCGAGACCACCTTACAGACTTCTCGGATGGTCTTGGCAATGGCCGCCTTGCGCGCCTGGCAGCGCTCGGTGTAGTATTTATTGAGCTGGTAAACCAGCTTGGCCTGAGCGGCAATCATGTTGGGGCACAGGTCCGGGCTGTACACCGGCGTCTCGCAATACGTTGAGGGATCCAAGGCTCACGCACGGGTGGTGGCCCTGTGGCTTGCAGAAGAGGCGGTGCGCTCCCCCTATGCCCCACTTTCACTCTTGCTTTCCACCTGGTTGACCCGCCAACGCTGTTGCCGGCTCACTCTTTCGAAAGCGTTTTTCTTCTCCAGAAAGTAACACAAAATATGATCTCCGGCTGAGACTTTTTGTTTTCTCCTGATATGTTAAATGAGGATGATGGTGTGCGACAGAAGAAGGGTAAAAAAAAATTTTTTAAATAAAAAGAGAAAAAAATTCAGGTTACCAGGGGGTTGGGCTTAGATCCCTGCATTTGTTGAAAAGAGATTGCCCAGAAATCTGAAAAGGAGGTCTCTTAAGTGCCAAAGTAAATTTAAAGATAAAAGCGAAACATTTCAGTGGTTCATTCTTAAACTTCTCCCCCACATTAGTTTGACTTCACTCTGCGTAGGTGAGTGCCGCCTTCCTCACCCTCCCCCAAATGAAAGGTGAAGGTTGTAATTAATGTCCTGAGAGTTGCGAAGTGCAACCCAGTCCCGCGGCACACTCAGAGGTTGCAGGCGCCCTGTGCTCTCAGCGTGTTGGTCTCGTCTCTTGGGCGGGGGGGGGTCGTGTTGTCGCGGCGTTCCTCTTTTCCTACTGGAGGCGTTGTCTGGACTGGGTTTGTTTGTAGTGGGTTCTTCTTGTCATTCTCTAGGTGCACACCTCAGGAAGTTGTTTGATATTCATTTCTGCTTCGTAATTATAATTTTGGCCCTCACAAAATCTGCTTTAATGTGACGAAGTCGTTGCTTGCGTTGCATCTGGGTTGTTACAACGATTCAGGGTTTTCTTCTCCTCCCCTTTAGGTTGCCTGTACAGATTCCACTGTCTGAGTCGTCTTTCCCTCCTCCCCTGCAACTCTTTCTCTCCCTCTTTCCCTTCAACCTCAATCTCTCTCTCTGTCTTGCTGTTTCCTGGAGTTATTTAGTTTATGAATGGTCTCAGGGCCATCATGAGGGAGGTGGAGCTTCAGTTCCTACAATCGCTATCCGAGCTGTCAGTGCTTTAGCCAATCCCAGAGAGAAGACAGGCACGCTTGGCGGACGGTAGCAGTCACCGCTGCACATGATAAAGAAAGGAGGTAAAGAGAGAAGAAAATAAGAGGAGATAGTACAAGCCAAATGCCCGCACACATTTCACAGCCTCCTCTTCTTTATCCTCCTCTCTTATCAATTGCAAGGAAGAAAAAGAAAGTCTATATAGATGAGACTTTCTTGGAGATAGCTGGAAAAACCAGGAAGTGTAGTTCAGAAAGGTTCACTTTTTTTAGTAATCTATCAAGATTGTAAGGAAGAGGCACAGACTTTAACAAAAATTACTTTGGCGTGAAGGCAAGTGGGAGAAGGAAAGGGAATCTTGGAAAGGACCCAGGATTTCTCCTTCTGCAAAGTGTTCTTTCCCTTTCCCTCTTCTCCCATTGTTGCCTAGAGCCAGAGTGATTGCTGTGTATGTGTACCAGTGGGGGGTGGAGTGGATATAGAATGAGGGTTTATGACCATAAATCTCCTTTCAGTAATTTCGATATGCTGTTGAAAAAAGGGGCGGGGCAAAAATAGTTCAAGAGCCTTGTTTGATAATTATTTCAAAACTAAGATTCAGATATATTTAATGCCATTATTTTATTGTTACCAGAACTAACTAGTTACTAGAGGGAAAACATTTCTGATTAAGTTGTGAGGAATGGTGTAAATTTATATACGGTAGAATTTGGTAGGATATACTTTTAAATTACATTAAGCCATTAAAATTGTTTAAACAAAATAAAAATGAACGGAAGCAAATATGAATCTGAGTTAAAGTTTTCTTTAAATATTAATGTTGTAAATTTAATTTTGCATATATTCTCAGGTAATACAGAGTTTCAGGTATAAAATTATTTTATTTTCATAATTGACTCTTGCTCTTAAAAGACTTTACTGCTGCAAAAATCTATAACTACCCTGTTATTGATTACACAGATGGCTTCCCTCCCGTGGCATTTCGATGAAACTTATGCGTGTGCGTTTAGTATGTTCATTATCCGTACTAGCTGTACACATTGTAGCCTTTGGGTATTTTAATATTTAGGGTTTGTGTTTGAATTTAAGGTGACAGATTCTGAGTCTTTTTTCTAAGACACATCAGCAGATAGGATTAATTTTAATTTGATTTCAGGGGTAATCTTCCAGCCTTGGAGTATGAGATAAGAATTAAGAATCTGTGAAGCCGTTTCAGCAAAGACTTCGTTTTGCAAAACCCCATCGTGCGTCTTTGGAAAGATTTGAGGGCTTGGCTTGCCCTCTTAAAGCCTGACCAGGTGAACCTGAAATCAATTGTGTAGGGAAAGTTAATTTCTTCCCCATTTACTTGATGTCAGACATTTGGGCCTCTAGCTTCTTTCTTATGTCTGTGGCGCAGACCACTGCTGCCTCGTTACCCCTCCACTCTTGTGGTCCCTAAGACCGTTTGTGAAGAACTAGTTGGCTTTAAAAAAATTTTTTTTTTTAAATCAAGTCGGATTTATAGTTTCGGATCTGTTTTCAGTGGCGAGGTGGGAAGAACAGTCGGAAGTAAGCGTTACGCGAAACTCTGGGACTCAAAGAGTGTAAGGCAATTTCTCCGGAATGGCAGGGATTTGGGGTAATGCGATCTCCAGCCTTCTTGCGGAAAGCAGCCTGCGTCCCGGAACACTTGGCGGCTGACGGATCAAGAGGAGTTGCGGCGCCCTCGGGATGTGTGCGGGTGGGAAGCCCGGACCCTGTCGGTAGCCGGGTTATTCGCCGCGCGGTTAACACCCGCGCTCTGGGAAGTATTCCTGGGCAGGAGGGGCACTTTGTTGCAGGAAGTTGTCTGACCCGCCCGGAGAGGATCCGTAGCAGTTTGAGCAGAGGGCAGTTACTGGGCGGAGACTGATGGCGGGGCTAGAGGGTGCGGCGATTTCCCTCTCTGCCTTCGAGGTGGCTGCTTCTCCATTGCCTCTGGCCGGGCGTGGACGGGACGGCCCACGTTGCTGCTGGGAGTGAGTGTTTGCAAACAGTCGCGGGGGTGACGGGCAGTTGTCCATTCTCAGGGCTCCCGCGCGGCGCCGACTGCCCCGGGGCCGCTGCAAGGGGCTAGGCACCGTCTGCCAGCGCCCTCCCTCCTCGGGTTGGGCGGCCCAGGCCGCGCGGGTCTTCGTGCCACCCCTCGCCGGACATCCCGCTCCTCTGATCCAGGCTCTGTTAAGCACCACCAGGTTTCGTTGCACACTTGTCTCCGCGTTTCTCCACTTTTCCACACAGAGACTGAGGGATAATAAAACGTTACAAATGTTTTGATTTGAAAACAATTCATTACCAATTTATCCTGTCTAAGGTAGATGCTCTAGTAAATAATAAATCAGTTAAACAAAGGCGACTTTAATTTATCGCCGTGCTACTAATTAGAAACATCATTCGAACAATAAACTTAAACACTTCCAGCAAATAATGCTCCCTCTTGCAATCCCCCCCCCCACCGCCCCCCAACTCCCTACTCCCTAGCTGCCTGTGCTGTGAGAGCTGCTTCAGCTGTGTGTTTGCGGATCCGCTCTTACTCTGGTTGAATAATTGAAGGGGAAAACGGTATCTGAGGAGGCTGTAATTGAAGAGCCCCGTCACCTCTGCTTTTATGTATGTTAGTATAGGAGTCCATCAGCAGCTCCTTGATGGTGTATTAAAATGAAGTGGCAGCCCCTTCTGCAGGAGATACCGTTTTCTATTAAAGGAGACCAAGTGAGAGGGAGAAACTCTAGAGGCTAAAAGCCACTTGAAGTCTTCAGACCGATTGATCTGTATTCTCTTGTTATAATCCGTCTCATCATACTTGAGTTAATGAGGCAAAGGAGGGGGAGGGAAATCTGATGGTCCTTGACAAATTCATTAGGGAGGCTACAGGACATTTTATTTGACTGTTAAACATCTTGTTTGTTTGGTTTAGGCAGTGCCAACATCAGCATGCTTCTGCCCAGAGCTGTGATGTTGGGCTAGCTACAATGCATTCCTGCAAAGGGAAGGAGGACATTCAGGGTGTGATTTGACTTTTTTGTTTTGGATTGCATGTAGTCAGAACTTTCAGGCTTCTCTATCCTTTACCATCACCATCATTACATTAGAAACATTTTATGAGGATGTAGATAATACCAAGATGGACATGCTTTTGGTTACTATTGAATATGTGTGTCTTTAAAACTTTAGTCTGAAAATTCCAATTCTTTTAAAAAAACCGAGTCAAATTATACCAATTACTATATTAGTTGCTATAATTAGTTTTAGTTTTTTCAAAATATGACTGTTTAAGGTACAGAGAAATAGCCAGATTACAAATAATAACCTGTTTTTACTTGATAATGATTAAATAAACTTGTAGTTATTAATTGAATTTTCTCTTACAGTGAAACATTTATGAGTACAGAAACTTAGAAATAAAAAAAAATAGCTACTCAAACAAATATGATAATCCCAAAAGAAAATTGTTGTATTTTAATTTCAGGGCCTTTTTTTACTGGGTACTTTATAAATGGTGCAAAAATAAGGTGATAGTTTGAGGGAGAATACATTTTAAAAAACAAAATGCTTCTAATTGAACAATAGACAAGGTAAAATGCTAACCTTATAATATTTTATTCTAAACTAATATGGTACTTGATTTTCTCAAAATTCTCTTGAAAAGAAATAAACAATCCAATTGCATAGAAAATTCAGTTATATTTTCTCTCAGCAATTGACTTAAACAGTCTCAGCTTAAGTGCTTTGAGAAAGAACCCTGTCTTCCCTTTATAGGAAAACAGTACGGGAGGAAAAAGAAAAACTAATGCCCTTTGCCTGTCATTTTTATACATTCCTGCACTGCTGATGAAGCTTGAACTGCTGCAGGCAATGTATGGATTTGAAAAGAAGTGATTCAGTAGTTCATGTTGTGTTTCTCAGAAGCAAAACCAAACTAATGGCTGAAGTCAGTGCTTCTGTACATCTGACAGTTATAATCCTGTTTACATTTCCAGAGCATACAGAGTCCTTAAACTGTTTTATTTTTTGCTGATCTTTCCTTAGAAATGTGTTTATGGAGTTAAAACTTGGTCCATTTTCTGTTTTATCAGATCACGGACACTTATTATCTGTAGAAATAGTATATAATATTTCAATAATCTTCACTAAAGAGTATACACATTTTTAGATTATATGATTTTGTTTTCCAGGAAAATACTTTTTAGAAGCATTGAAAAATAATCAGATTATTTATTGACTTAATATTCTTTGAAGAATTTATACTTCAGAAAACAAAGGACCACATGTTTACCTGCATATATTTTATTCTCTATCTAACTTCAAAACATTTATGCAGTTGCTAAATCTGTATATATGTAATCATTTGACATATTTATAAGAATGTTTGATTCCTATGAAAATTCATCATATTAGATCAGTAAATATAGAGAAATAAAACACTGTTAAAATCTCTGACTTTAAAAACTATTCCAGCAAAGAGAAGAAAAGTAAATAACACA